GAGGGAAATCCTATGTGAAACATTGGGACAACTGTTGCTAGGCAATGTAGATAATACAATCATTAGGATCAATTATCTAATCTTATATACAGCAGTCTCCTGCTTTCCAATGTAAGACTTTAAGATTGATGACATAAGGAGAGTTGTCAGGATTGCTTCAGCAAGGACTTGAGTCCTAGTTCCTCCACAGTCCAATACAGAATTTAGATTAATTTTGGAGAAAGCTAGCTTCTCTCAACTCTATTTTGCCATAAAAAAGGATACCAAAGAGATTTAAATTAATGTGAAAGGTAGATAACATAGTTCACATAGTATCCTTCAGACTATAGAGGGGCTTCTTTCAGTCTCCCTTCCTAGAACTTTTCTAATGCTTCTTTCTCTGGATATTGAATGCTGTCACTTCGTTCCCTATTGATAATGCTTATAAATCTGAAACTGTATAGTCATGGTGAATGGAAATATCTCACAACTGGTTTCTGAAGCTTTTCTGTTACAATTGCTGGCTTGCAGTTCCTGCAAGAAGTACAGTGCTCCTGACAAGGTTTCTTTTGTCAATTTCGTACAGCTTCCCAACACAAAGTAATTATTTATGACAGCTGAATTAAAACACAACTTGTTCTTTCTGCATCCCAGTAGCAAGAATCTCAGCACCTATCATTATCTTTGCAAAACTGTCATCTTTAGAAAAACAATGATTGGTGACAGGTTATATCAACTAGAATATTCTATGCAAATGTTACAGAATATAGATATCCTACATGTCCTGTATGTAGTACATGTAGGGTACAATGTATGTCTTGTGTGTAGGGTAGAGTGGACCCTTTATATTGGCAGGTTGATGATCCATGGATTTGACCATCCACAGACTGCCACACTCCATATTATTCAATGGTGGTGTGTGCCTTCTGATGCACCTGTGCACTTGTCACTGCAAATGAATAATATAGGTGCAATCAGTCATGATTTTTGCCATTCACAGGGCAGGGGGGAATCAAGCTCCCATGGATGGGAATGGCCCATTCTATGCTGGAACGATATACATCTTCGGGAAACATCAATTAACCATTGCAACAAAAACAAAACTTGAACAATCTGTTGCCAGATCTGCCTCAAAAACCTGTATTTTATTAGTGTTCTCAGAACACTTCCTCCTTTAAAAGTGGACATCTTGAATTAATTGGTCAAGGATAGAAAGGAATGTCTTTGAACTAGATGAGCTTGGTAAAAGTAGCATTTTTTTGCTACCTCACAAAACTCGTTGCAAAAAATGGGCACCTTGCCTTTCCACACACATTGAAGGCTTACAAGGAATTTCCAAGAAATAAAGGACACATGAAATGATGCATGTATTTTAAAACAGTAGCCAAAATTCACATAGTTGAAACATACAAACACACATACAAACATATTTTAGTCAGAAAAGAAGTTTGCACAAATCATTCATGAATGGCAGGATGTTGGACTAGATGGCCCATCTTCCAGCACTTTTGAGGCTAAGAAATTAGGAAAGTGTTACAAAATGGGTGGATTTCAGGAGACAAAAACTCACATAGAAAAAGCAGTTAGAATCTAAAGAAGATCAACAAAATCAAGACTGAGAGGGTTTTTTCCTCATTCAAAATCAAGGTCTCTCTCATGTCTGGTAGGATACCATGTTCAGAAGCCCAGGCTTCACTCAGAAAATCTTTATTAAGAAACTATAGATCCAATCCAGTGACATTCATTGTCAGAAATTATCAGCAAGTGTTAGCACTATGTAATTTAACTACACACAATTTCATATTCTGGGCAGGCTTCATTCTTATTCAATATAATTAATAATAAACATTTCTTCCTCTCATTCCCACACTGCCCCTTCCATATTATTACTGCCAGATTCTTTTCACTGAAAAGGCCTTGAGCAGGCTTGACTCAGGCATCCCTCCCTCCCCTTGGTATCTTATTATCTGTGTCTATGGGATAAAGCAGATGGCCTGAAAGGAGTGATCTCTGGCTATGATCGCTCTGGAACTGCGGTGACTGGATAGCCTGTTCCAAAAGCGGGCCACCGCTGTGGTCCCAAATGAGCTGCTGGCAGGAGCAAAATAAATCTTCTCCTTTTGCCAGCCGATTTCGTGGGTAGGTGCATATTTTGTAGGTGGGTGTTTTCTAAACACCAGGCTGGAAGCCACTCTCTTTGGCCCACCTGTTTCAGACCTAAGATAATCATGTCTCTGGAATAGCCTTTTCTACTGTCATATCAACCTCCCAACATTTTATGGCAGGTAAAGTGCATATGCATCTTATGGCATTTACATTTAATGTAATGCTCGCCTCTCTTTTTCATTGGTCCGCTTACTTCAAGATGACTGTGGTTGACTGCTTCCTCCTATGGATCAGTGTGCCATCTAATTCTGTGTACTCCAGTTGGTGTGTTTCTTGGGCTCCTAAAGGAGCCTTGTGGTTGATGTTCTGTTGAATCACTACTAGGGCTTTTCTTTCATGTTCCATCTTTATGCATGTGTTCTTGGCACTAGTTAACTTTGCTCCTTTATGTCTGTTCGCACGATGGCTGTGCATTCATTGAACTTGTGTTCAGGCAGTTGTACAGTCTCTCTAATATGTTCCACATTTAAAATTCTCTGTGACAATGCTGGGAAAAATGCTTTGCATACATGGGGGAGGGGAGCATAGAGATGGGTAGGTAATCACAGATAGGTTGGTGTAAAAAGACATAAAGGGATCCATTAGGGCATAACAATAAAAATTGTTATACCCAGGGATCTATTAGTACCATTGAGATTAAGTAGGAAGAAATTTCTAGCCTGTACTTCTCTTGACTTGATCCACTTAACCAGATGCATTTAATTGTAGCGGACAGAGTACAACAAAGCTTATGCTGGAAAAATTTTTTCCCAGTTTATTTCAGAGGTACTACTAGATTCCTCGTCTTTCTTTTTATGTAAAAGCCGACAAACACAGCAATTGCATTGAAACAGGTTAATGATGGATTTCCTAGGCCCCCTGCGCATGACAGCATGTGTAGCTATTATTGTCATCTCCTGTTTCAAGATGCGAAGAGGAAGTGAAGAATTCAACAAACATTTCAGCACTCCAGGTTATAACTTGTCATATGGGATCTGCTCTTGGTAACTTAATCTATTATCCCAGAATGAATTGCTTGGCAGAGAAGTTACTGAGGCTAGTGGCTGAGGCTTGGGAGATGCACTACTAGCAGTTCTTTTCCCCCAGAACCTCTGATGCATGACTGACGACTGTCTTCTGACAAGTACACTTACAAACAACAGTATGATAGGAGAGAATGGAACTGTTCCATATTTAAATGATTAATAAGATTCTGATGGAAAACAACCACTGGAGTGGATTTTTCCTCCCTGCTCTGTGTGCCTCTCCCTAGAACAGTAAAGTGGTTGTTGCTCAGATATATGCATCTGATGAACCACCTCTTGAGTATTCCTTACCAAAGAAAACACTATGAAATTCATGGGGTCATTCTAAGTTGACACATGAATGTACATGGAGTCATTTTTGTTACCTTAGGCTTTCAATGGTTTTTAATGTGAGTCTGACCCTGTTCTATGGTGTACTAAGAATGCCTTTGCTGATAGTCTAGTTCAGACCTGAACAACTTGGAAGTAGGCAGGGGCCAACATTAAAATTGTCAAATTTATTCAGTCCGCATATAGGTTTTAATAAATTATTATAATAAGTAATTATTAATTAATAAATAAGTAATTGTTAATTTCTAATAATAATAATAAATAATATTAATTCAGTCTGCTGCTGCCACCACCCTGCTCTTTCTTGGGAGAAGGCCAAGCAGTAAAGGAGCCTTGAGCAGGGTGACCAGATGTCATAACCAGAATGGAGGGAAAGAAACCACAAAATATAGGGCATTCAAGAAAAAATGTAGGCAACATTACAAAATAAAAGCTAAAAACAATAATATAAATTCACAAAATTTATAAATATAAATGCATGAAATAACCTCCTGATATCCCCCATGCCATTGTGCTCCCACCCCCTCGGCAGCCCCCTTCTTAGAGGTGAGAGTCAGCTGTAAAAGCACATCTCTCCAGAAGATAAATATAGTTAAGCAGTTTGCACTCTGACTTTCTATAATTATAGCTACAAAACTGAATAATGGTAATAGCAAATGGGCCACTTAGGTCCAAAACACTGCAGAAATAATCCATTTTGAGACCGTGTTAACTGCCCTGGTTCAATGCTAAGGAATCATGGGAATTGTAATTTTGTGAGACATTCAGCCTTCTTTGTCAGAGAACTCTCGTGCCACAACAAACTACAGCTCCCATGTTCCCTAGCATTTATTTCTGC